GCGCGCGCGCGCGTCGCTCGAGAGTACCGTCCGGTCTTCGACTTCTCCGCGGGCTCCGCGGACCTCTTGCCCTACGACCGCTGCCTCGCCGCGGCGCTCTCGACGGTCATGGAGACCCTCGCCGTCGTCGAGGCCTTCGGCGCGCCCTACGACGGCTTCGCGAAGGGCCGCGACCCCTTCATCGCCGCGGCCGTCGACGTCGCGCCTCGGCTTGGGCGAGTCCATGGGCTCGGCGGCCTCGGCGGCGTCGCCTGGCGCGGCGACGCGGGCGAGGGCTTCGTGGGCGGCGCCGCCGAGCTCGCGGACGTCTGCGAGGAGGCCTACGTCGCCTTCGCGGAGCACGAGCTCCCGTCGAGGACGCCGTCGCGCCTCGGCTTGGGCGAGTCCATGGGCTCGGCGGCCTCGGCGGCGTCGCCTGGCGCGGCGACGCGGGCGAGGGCTTCGTGGGCGGCGCCGCCGAGCTCGCGGACGTCTGCGAGGAGGCCTACGTCGCCTTCGCGGAGCACGAGCTCCCGTCGAGGACGCCGTCGCGCCTCGGCTTGGGCGAGTCCATGGGCTCGGCGGCCCCTACGACGTCGCCTGGCGCGGCGACGCGGGCGAGGGCTTCGTGGGAGGTGCCCCGGAGCTCGCGGACGTCTGCGAGGACGCCTGCGTCGCCTTCGCGGCGCACGCGCTCCCGTCGAGGACGCCGTCGCGCCTCGGCTTGGGCGAGTCCATGGGCTCGGCGGCCTCGGCGACGTCGCCTGGCGCGGCGACGCGGGCGAGGGCTTCGTGGGAGGTGCCCCGGAGCTCGCGGACGTCTGCGAGGACGCCTGCGTCGCCTTCGCGGCGCACGCGCTCCCGTCGAGGACGCCGTCGCGCCTCGGCTTGGGCGAGTCCATGGGCTCGGCGGCCCCTACGACGTCGCCTGGCGCGGCGACGCGGGCGAGGGCTTCGTGGGAGGTGCCCCGGAGCTCGCGGACGTCTGCGAGGACGCCTGCGTCGCCTTCGCGGCGCACGCGCTCCCGTCGAGGACGCCGTCGCGCCTCGGCTTGGGCGAGTCCATGGGCTCGGCGGCCTCGGCGACGTCGCCTGGCGCGGCGACGCGGGCGAGGGCTTCGTGGGCGGCGCCGCCGAGCTCGCGGACGTCTGCGAGGAGGCCTACGTCGCCTTCGCGGAGCACGAGCTCCCGTCGAGGACGCCGTCGCGCCTCGGCTTGGGCGAGTCCATGGGCTCGGCGGCCCCTACGACGTCGCCTGGCGCGGCGACGCGGGCGAGGGCTTCGTGGGCGGCGCCCCCGAGCTCGCGGACGTCTGCGAGGAGGCCTACGTCGCCTTCGCGGAGCACGAGCTCCCGTCGAGGACGCCGTCGCGCCTCGGCTTGGGCGAGTCCATGGGCTCGGCGGCCCCTACGACGTCGCCTGGCGCGGCGACGCGGGCGAGGGCTTCGTGGGCGGCGCCGCCGAGCTCGCGGACGTCTGCGAGGAGGCCTACGTCGCCTTCGCGGAGCACGAGCTCCCGTCGAGGACGCCGTCGCGCCTCGGCTTGGGCGAGTCCATGGGCTCGGCGGCCCCTACGACGTCGCCTGGCGCGGCGACGCGGGCGAGGGCTTCGTGGGCGGCGCCGCCGAGCTCGCGGACGTCTGCGAGGAGGCCTACGTCGCCTTCGCGGAGCACGAGCTCCCGTCGAGGACGCCGTCGCGCCTCGGCTTGGGCGAGTCCATGGGCTCGGCGGCCCCTACGACGTCGCCTGGCGCGGCGACGCGGGCGAGGGCTTCGTGGGCGGCGCCGCCGAGCTCGCGGACGTCTGCGAGGAGGCCTACGTCGCCTTCGCGGAGCACGAGCTCCCGTCGAGGACGCCGTCGCGCCTCGGCTTGGGCGAGTCCATGGGCTCGGCGGCCTCGGCGGCGTCGCCTGGCGCGGCCCAACACGGGCCCGGGAGCGACGTGGGCGAGGGGTTCGATCGCTTTGCCACCCGGCCCGGCTCCTTGATCACGCGCGCGTCCCGTCGCAGGTCGTACCAGCCGAGTTTCAACTCAGTCGACGGTCGTGCCAACCTCGCGCGCGTCTTCGACACGGACTGCCTGACGGCGCGACTCCACGACGACGACGAGATCTGCTTCGAGTTCCACGACGAGGTAGAGCGCGACGGGCTCGCCGTCGGTGCTTTGCGCGATGTTCTAGATCGCGCGACGAAGATGGAGTCGAACATGATCGCGTCCGCGGCCGATTTAAAGTGCTGGCGACTGAACACCAAGATGTGCAACCGGGCCGTGCACAAGGTCGAAAATGGATGGACGTTGTCTTATCCTCGCATCAAGGGCAGCCGACTAAAACAGCTGGAGCGCGATCTCGAATTTCACACGAAGGTTTGGTTCCGGTGTCTCGCCTAGGGTTCCGCAACACTTCGACCCTCGTCTCGCGCTATTTGAGAGTGGGGTCGAGCGTCTGAGGCGTGGACATGACGATGGGACCCGCCGTGACCTAAGCGCCGACGCAGGTGCCATCTCGCGAGGGCGGCCGCTTCGGATTCCGCGGCTACAAGTCCATGATGATGGAGATCATCGTGATTACCAAGCTTGCGGACGAGCTCGTGAGGTCTGACTCTCCTTTGCGCCTCGTGCGGGCTCCGGACAACGACGAGGTCGTGGATTTCGTCTTAGTGGCCAAGGGCGACTACGACGAGGCGGCTCTCGAGGGCCGCGTGCCGAACCTGGCGTACGGCGGCTTGGGCCTCCCGGGCCAGATGAAGACGATTCGAGGGCTTTCCGCTGATGCTTACCTAGTGCGTGTGAGCGAGGCGTCGTTGCGGCACTACGGGAAGGTCGTCTATATCAACTACGACTTCGAGCGGGGGGAGTTCCTCGTCGTCGAGCGCGGCGACGAGCTTGCGGACCGGGTCGAGGACGGCCGCAAGCAACAGCGCATGGGCATCAAGAACAACTACCGGGGCAACAAGAACGACCCGTCAAGGGCGGCGTCGCGGCGCCTTTCGCTTGACTGTCGGCATCCGGAGGGCGCGGCGCTGTGGGAGGAGCACGGCGTCTCGCTCGGCGGCCTCGTCACGAAGCTCGAGGAGTTCTTCGAGAACGACGAGCACAAGGCGACCTACGAGGACATGTTCAGCACGCCCGAGATCGAGGAGCTCACGCTCCTCCAGCGTCTCCTGGGCTCGGACGCGACGGTCCGCCTCACGCCGCTCCCGCAGCAGCTGGTGGACGCGTTCATCGACGTCGCCGGCCGCTCGCTCGAGCTGCAGGCGAAGGCGACGGGCAAGATTAGCATCAACCGGTTCATCTTCGCCATGAACGCGTTCTACGACAAGGACTGCTTCGACTTCTGGTTGCTGACAGTCCGCGATGAGGAGAGTACGATCCGCGGCTTCTTCTTGCTGCCGACGTTCGTGCTCTATCGACACCGCTTCTTCCCCGGGCAGCTCAAGCGAATGGAATTCCAGAACAGAGCGACGAAGGAGCCCGTGGAGATCGAGCAGATGCAGGCCATTCGGGTCTTCTCCATGGTCGGCGGCATCCAGCTCCCGGGCCTCGAGCCCGTCGGCGAGAGGGACGTGTCCACTGAGATGTGGGCCTTCATGAAGGACGCGTCCAAGTACTACACCGAGCTCGACGCCGCCGGCGCCCTGTCGCAGGCCAAGGCGCGCAAGCTACTCTCCATCGTCAAGCGCGAGCCGCCGGAACTGGCCGACGTCCGCGTCGTCCGCCTCGCCAATGTCCCCCTCACCCTCCGTATGTTTCACGACGCGGGCATGTTCAAGCTCTACAAGAAGTACGTCTGCGGCGAGGCGTCGCTCGCCTACAACGGCCAGGATTTCTTCTTGGGCGACGCGTGGGTCGTGTCGGTCGTGCCGAACAGTGGCACGTATCCAACCCGGAGTGATGTTCCGCGATGGATGAAGAAAAGAAAGAAGATTCGCGTCGAACATCTCGAATATATATTCGAGCCGCCGATGAAATATTTCCTGAAACCCGGTTTTCAGAATTTGAGCTACGCGAAGGTGACGGACTTTCGCTCGGGCTACACGATGGTCCCCGAGAAGGCGCTGGCGCTCGCGAAAGCATTCGCAGCGGGCGGCGCCGACGCAGCCATCGACGAGATGTATGCCTTAAAGGGCCCGTGCGCTGCGCTGAAAAACATCTTGAAGCACCAGGGTCGCGCGTTCCGCCCGCGTCCCGACATCCTCGCCGAGGAGCCGAAGAAGCGGAAGAAGCAGACCGTGCCTGCGAAGGAGCGCCCGAAGCGAGCGCGCTCGGCGCCCGAGGGGTATGACCCGTCGGCCAAGGGCCAGCCGCAGTCCCTCTCGGACCCAAGCACGAACCGCAGGGCCAAACGCTGATTGTCGTGACGCGCCGACGACCGTGCCGCTGCGACGCTCCTGTGAGGCCATGCCTTCCAATGTTTAGCAGCGCGGCCCGGCGTGCCGCTGGGCGAACCTGGGCCACAGCTTGCGACGAACCCGGGCCACCAGCTTGCGCGCGCGCGCGACGCCCCGATCCTCGCGCGTCCTCGAGAACCACTTTGTGAGCGCGTGGTCAGGCAGCAAGATGCCTTCGGCCGCGTGCTCCACTCATTCCATATGCCCAGTAAGCGGTGCGCCTCTAGCGTCGCACAGACGACGCTGACACTGGTCCGGAGCCCTAGAGAGGAGTGTCGCGGGAGCGGGCGGCTCTCTTTGGCCGTCCCCAGGGTCGCCGGGCGGCTCTCCGTGGCCATCCCAGGGCCGCCGGGCAGCTTTCTGTGGCCGGCCCGGGGTCGCCAGGCGGCTCTCCGTGGCCGGCCCGGGGTCGCTCGTGAACCCGCCGTCGTTGCCTTCGAGCGGCGTCGTCGTTCACGCGGAAGACGTGCTGCTTCTTCCCGCACGCCGACGCGGCGACGGTGGTGGCGGACGCAGCTGCCTCGGGATCTTCTCTTTCTGTCTGTCGTCTAATAACACAATCCCCTCCCCCGTTGAAGCTCCCGCAATCACCACCTCCGAATTCGCAGGCACTCCGTCGTCGACTCCGAGCTACGTGCCCACGTCGGTGCCCACGAGCGAGCCAAGTGCACCGCCATCCTCGCAGCCGTCGTCCGCTCCTTCGCCACTGCCGAGCACGAGCATTCCCAGCGCCGCGCCTTCATCCCTTCCCGCGCCCGCTCCGTCGGCTCGTCCATCGGCGCTGCCCACAACGGCCGTGCCGACGACGTCGTATCCGACGAGCTCCGCTCCGTCCTCGGAGCCCACAGAAGTGCCGGTGCCCGAGCCGTCGTTGCTCCCGACGCTGAACCCGAGTCCCGAACCATCGTTTGCTCCTTCGGGTGGCCCGTCTTACACGCCTACGGCATCTCCCTCGCTTGCGCCATCGGCAGCGCCGAGCTCGACGCCGTCGATGGCTCCGAGTGCAACCCCGTCGGCCTCTCCGACGCCGCTGCCGATCACGCCACCGTCTGCCCTGCCCACGTCGAGTCCATCGCCTGCGCCATCGGCAGCGCCGAGCTCGACGCCGTCGATGACACCGTCGGCGATCCCGTCGGCCTCTCCGACGCCGCTGCCGATCACGCCACCGTCTGCCCTGCCCACGTCGAGTCCATCGCTGACGCCATCGGCTGCGCCGAGTCGGACGCCGACGGGGCTGCCGTCTCCGAGTCCCTCAGCGAGCCCCTCGTCGGTGCCATCGGCGGCTCCGTCGCTCGAGCCAACCACAAGCGTGCCCTCGGCAGAGCCAAGTCCGTTGCCGAGCTCATATCCCACAACGAGCGCGCCGTCGTCGCCGCCGTCGCCGATGCCCTCCCCCGAGCCGACGACTGCTGGGCCCACGACGACGACGCGGGCGCCGACAGAGACACCCTCGCTCATGCCGTCTCCAAGTCCGTCGTTGCCGCCGTCTGCGGCTCCGTCGTCGCCTCCGAGCGCGGCGCCGAGCGCGGCGCCAAGTACACCACCGTCGCCGTCGCCCTCGACGATTCCCACGTCGATGCCGACGTCGGAGCCAACAACGCGGCCGTCCCCGGCACCGACGTCCACCCCGACGTCTTCGCCCACGTCTTCGCCCACAACGCGACCAACCGGAGTGCCTACGGCGACGCCCACGTCCCTGCCGACAACTCCGCCGAGCTCTCGACCCACAAGCGTACCCACCCCCCCCCCCGGCACGAGCGTCCCGACGTCCCTGCCGACGACTTCGCCAACCAGCGAGCCCTCCCGCGTGCCTACCAGCGTTCCAACATCGCTCCCGACTCAGATGCCGAGTCCGCTGCCATCAACAGCCATGCCGAGTCCACTCACGCCGTATCCCACGGGCACTCCCACGGCAGCCCCGACGGGGGTTCCGACGACGCCTCCGTCGCCGATTCCGACTGTGCCGCCGACGCCGACGCCCTCCACCGCGTCGCCATCGACGGCGCGTCCGTCGCCGGCGCCTTCGACTGTTCCCGAGCCGGTGCCGACGACGCCGCCGTCCCCGCTCCCCACGGTCCCGCCTACGCCAACTCCCTCGACCGCGGCGCCAAGCGTCGTGCCCGGAAGCCCGTCCAAATCACCTATCATCGCGCCGACCGCAGATCCCCCGGGGATTCCATCTGTCCCGCCAACGCTCGCTCCGACGAGAGCACGCACGGATTTGAAGGTGACGGCGCAGCTCACGTTCGACTCTCTGCCGCCGGGCGACCAGGAGGCGTTTTTGGCCGCCGTCGCCGAGGCCATCGCGGCCTCGAGCTGTGTGGAAATCAAATATTCAACCCGACTTCAATGTGAGCGTATGAGACCGTTTCGACGCGAGGTCTTCGGCTGCTCTTCGAGAAGTCGATGAGAGCAATCGATTCGTCCAAAAATCAGCCGAATCGACTTCGATTTGACTGAGCTAGAGAATTTTGAAGCTTGGCCCCGACAGGCCTCGAGCGATTCGCTCAGCGGCGAGGATCCCGTCGGCTACCGTCTGACGGGCGTGCCCACGGCGTCGCTCACGACCCCGAGCGCGACGCCCGCGCCCGTCGTCGCAACGACGCCCGCGCCCGTCGTCGCCACGACGCCCGCGCCCGTCGCCAGCGGGACGGTCGCGACGCCCGCGCCGACGCCGACGCCGACGACGTCTCCGACGCCCAAGCCGACGACGCCGAGCCCGACGCCCAAGCCAACTCCGTGTCCCACTGTTACTCCCGGATCACCGTCGAAGATGCCCGTCGTCCCGCCGACGGCCGCGCCGAGCACCGAGGCTCCGACGACGGACCAGCCGACGTCCTCGTCGCCGTCAGCGTCCTGCATCCGCGACGATTTTTGAGAGATTTTGACCGGGAAAACGATGAAAACTCGTTACCGACGCATGTGGTAGGTCACCGTCCCTGGTGCCGACGTCGCCCACGAGCGTGCCCACGTCCGTGCCGACGTCGACGCCGTCCATCTCGCCGACGGCCACGGCCGCACCGGTGTCGCGCCGGCGGCTCCTCTTCGAGTACCCCCGCGACGGCTCCTCGGAGGCGTCCCGCCGGCGGCTCCTCTTCGACGGCGAAGTTTATTTCGACGACGAGCAGCGACTCGACGAGCAGCGCCTCGACGAGCAGCGACTCGACGAGCAGCGACTCGACGAGCAGCGACTCGACGAGCAGCGCCTCGAAGAACCACGACGCCACTGGCGCCGCGGCGGCTTCCTCTACCGCAGCCTGCTCCCCGCGCGGCGGCGGCTCGACGAGTCGGCCGAGGAGTGCGACGCGGCGAGCAACGCGACCGCGGGAACCAGGGCGGAAAAGGGCGATTCAAGTTCGCTTCAACATGAATTCCGCGCACGATCGTTCCAGAGAAAGGATCCACGCTTCGAGAGCGCTCCGAGAGATAATCGCCGAGCCGAAACGAGTGGAAAACGGCCGAGAGAGGATGTTTCTATCGATCGAGTTTCCTCGTGGGCCGACGCGACCAAGCCCGCGCCGCATCGTCGTCGCGCCGCCCAGCTCGTCGTCGCGCCGCCCAGCTCGTCGTCGCATCGCGCCCAAGCTCGTCGTCGCGCGCGCCTCGCTGAACGCTCGTCGCCTTTGAAGTTGGGAATGTCGCACCCTTTTCCTACCTAGGCAAACAACAACACAAATACTTCGGCGGACGACATCTCCTACGTCGTCGAGGTCGACTACCAGCTCTCGAACGCGAGCGGCGCGGACTACGAGGAGAAGGTCGGCGACGAGATCGCGGACGCGAGCGACGACGGCAGCCTGAGCGAGAACTACGCCGCGGCGAGCAACTCGTCCTGCGGCCTGAACGTGTCCGCCATCGGCACGGCGGCGGAGGCGGTGCTGCCGCCCACCTTCGCGCCGACGACCGCGGAGCCGTCCGCGGTGCCGACGCCGACGCCGACGACGTCGTTCGCGCCGACGCCGTCGCCGTCGACGCCGAACCCGTCCGCGATGCCGTCGCCGTCGCCGTCGCCGCTCCCGACGGCCTTCAACGGCACCATCCTCGCGAACCCGCTCAACGCGGCGAGCGGCGGCGGCTCCGGCGGCGGCGGGTCGAACGCGCTCTACATCGTCGCGGCGATCGCGATGCTCGGCGGCCTCGCCGTCGCGGTCTGAGTGGACATCGAAGCTTCAAGTTGACTTCAATGTGAGAGTTCAGATCTTCTGCCACGCTTCGAGAACCCGACGAGAGCGATCGATTCGTCCAAAAATCACTTCGGTTTGACCGAGCTAGAGGTTTCTGAGGTTCACTGGTTGATTTCCTCGCAGGTCGCGGTCCTCGCCTACAAGCTCTGCTACCAGCGCGAGGAGCTGCTCAAGCTGCTCCCGACCCTGCCGAAGAAGAAGCCGACGGGCCGCTACGCGGCGACGCTCGCCGTGAAGGAGCCCCGGCCCGAGACGCCGCCGACGCCGAAGGTGCTGCCCATGGACACCGCGCCGCCGGAGCCCGCGCGCGAGCGGCCGCCGAGCCAGGAGCGCGACATGGCCATCAAGGAGGAGCGCGTCCAGCCCAAGGCCCCGCCGCCGAAGCGGCCCACGGTGCGGTCCACCGTCGCCAAGGTACACCGCGGCGTCCGAGCGATTTTGTTTTTGTCCCGGGATCGAGAGTCATCACTCCGAGCGGTTTTTTTACGTCTTCGATCGCGCCCGGTCCCGGTCAAACATAAGAGGAAGAGAAACACACCCGGTCCCGGTCAAACATAAGAGGAAGAGAAACACACCCGGTCCCGGTCAAACATAAGAGGAAGAGAAACACACCCGGTCCCGGTCAAACATAACAACACATCGTCACCCGTAGGTCGCCGTCGTCGACGCGGCCGACGAGAGGAAGGAGACCATCGCGCTCGCGCACTACCTCCCCTGGTTCCAGTTCGAGCCGGAATCAAAAACCGCGGGCTACCACTGGACGCTCAACAAGAACAGCTACGACTTCGACGCGCCCGGCGACGGCGTCGCGTCGCACTACACGCCCCTCATCGGCCCCTACGACTCGACGGACGCGAACGTTATCCGCTACCACCTGCGGCTCATGAAAGCCGCGGGCGTGTCCGGCGTCATCGTCCGCTACTTCGGCGTCCAGGGCGACTTCTACTACGAGCACAACCTCGCGGCCTGCGACTCCGTCGTCTACGCCTGCGAACAGCTCGACATGCTCTTCACGGTCTGCTACGACGACCGCGTCGCCAAGTCGGACACGACGGAGCCCGACCTGAACCTGGTCGTCCGCGACCTGGCGTACGTGCGCGACCGCTACGCGACGCGGTCCAACTTCCTGCGCATGGGCGGCCGGCCCCTGCTCCTGGTGCTGGGTCCGAGCTACGTCACCTCCAAGAAGTCCTGGGCCGACGCCGTCGGCGCCGCGTTCTACGGCGCGGGCGCGCCGCCGATTCTCGCGGCGATGCACGGCGGCGATCTGGACGACGGCCAGTATTTGTGGCTCCCCGAGCGCGCGGCGATGACGCCCGTCTGCCCCCAGATCGCCCTCGAGGCCCACCTCGAGGACGGCTACGAGGACCCGTCGACGCCTGTGTGGGAAACAACCAGTGGAATGGCCCTGTCCACCAAAACTTCAAACCTCTCTATCTCGGTCAAATCGAAGTCGTTTCGGCTGATTTTGGGATGGATCGTTTTCTCTCGGCGAGTTCAGATAGTAGAGAAACGATGTCAAAACCGTGCGAATACATGCATATTGAAGTCGTGTTGAATATTTTTGTTTCCTGCCCAGGTCGACGCTCATGGGCGTCGCGTTCCCGCGGTACCGCGACTACTACGAGGAGGGCGGCGACGGCGAGTCGCGCGGCCGCGTCGACGACGACGGCAACCGCACGTTGGAAGCCTGCGTCGCCGCGGCGAAGCGCGCGGCGCCGCCGTTCCTTCAATTACTCACCTGGAACAACTTCCAGGAGGGCACGGTGCTCGAGCCGACGCGCGAGCGCGGCTTCGAGGATTTAGTGGTGCTGCGCCAGTCGCTCGACGGCGACGTCGTCGACGAGGGGAAGTTGGAACAAGACATGGAGAAGATCTACCTGACCTACGTCGACGAGGCGAAGATCCCGGGGAGCCCGACGCTGAAATCGATGCTCAACGACTTCGGGCTCCGGGCCAAGACGCCCGCGGCCGTGGGGCGGTCCACCGCGCTCGACCCGCAGGACGTCTTCAAGTCGACGGCGTCGCCGCGCGTGTCCCCCGGCGACGTCGCGCCGCCCATCAAGGAAATCACGCCGCGGTCCAAGGCGAACGCGCTCGCGCCGCTGGCCGGCGCCGCCGCGCCGCTCCGGTCGCCCAAGCCCGCGCTGCCGGCCATCGGCTTCATGCGGTCGCCGCGCATCATCCCCACGCAGCGGCCGCCGCCGGAGAGCCCGCACGCGATCGTCGACGTCGCCCCCGAGGACGCGGACGACGCGCACGGCATCGACATGCCGAGCGAGGACGTGCTGGCCTACGCGGAGGTCGTGAAGCTGTGCGTCGCCGGCGGCGAGCTGTCCTACAAGGCGCGCGACTTCGCCGACGAGTACCGGCGCGAGAACGGCATCTCCGACGAGGACCACGCGGCGGTCCTCGCGGACGTCGGCGTGACGCCCGAGGACTGGGCCGCCGTCCGGGAGCCCGAGCCCGAGCCCACGACGCCGGCGGCGCCGACCTACGCGTCGCCGCGGCCGCCGTCGCGCGAGCCCGAGCCCGAGCCCGCGCCGGCCCGCGCGTCGCCGAGGTCGCCCGCGGCGCCGATCTACGTGTCGCCGCGGCGCGAGCCGGAGCCGGAGCCGGCGCCGGCCCGCGCGTCGCCGCGGTCGCCGGCGACGCCCGCGGCGCCGACCTACGTGTCGCCGCGGCCGCCGTCGCGCGAGGAGCCCGCGCGCGACGCGATCCCCGTGGTCACGCTCGTCGAGGAGCAGCCCCAGCCGTCCGCGCGGAGCGAGGCGAGCCAGCGGAGCCGCCAGTCGCGCGTCGGCTTCGGCGAGGAGAAGCGGGAGGAGGAGGCGCAGCCGTCCCGCCCGTCGCCGCCGCAGCCGTCCCGCCCGTCGCGCGTCGGCTTCGGCGAGGAGAAGCACGAGGAGCCGCCGCGGCGCTTCTCGCGGGTGCCCGCGGCGCCCGTCGCGCAGCCGAGCCGCGAGTCGGCGACGACGCCGCCCGAGGACTACGACCTCGAGCTGCGCCGGGGCCGCGAGCCGCAGAAGCCGCGGCCGTCGACGCCGCCGCCGGAGGAGCCCGACAAGGAGGAGGCGCTCGCCCTCGTCGGCGACGACACCGTCAGCTTCCTCGAGCTCGCGCGGAACACGGCGCCCCTCGAGGAGTCGAAGCGGGACCAGATCGCGGGCGTCAAGGAGGCCATCGACGAGACGGTGCGCAAGGCGCTCGCGGCGGCGGGCTACCGCGGCGGCGTCGCCTGCAACCTCGCCGGCGGGAAGCTCGACATGGGCAGCCGGGGCAAGGCCATCAAGTTCGTGTCGAACGGCGACGCGGTCCGCAACGCGGACGGCCTCGCGGCCGTCGAGGACGTCGCGGCCGTGCTGCGGGAGGCGCAGCGGGCCTGCGACGACCGGAATCAGCCGCTCCTCGCCAGAGTCACGGTCACGGTGCGCGGCGGCGACAAGCAGCTCAGCCGGCTCCAGCGCGGACAGAGCGACCTGCTGTCGCTCAAGCGGAGCCGGCGCGTCATCGCCGTGCTCGAGGACGCCGGCGTCCGCGGCGACGTGCTCCAGTCGGACACGGGCGGCGCGGCGCTCAAGGCCACCGTCGAGGTCGCCCTGTCCCTGCAGGCGAAGCCCGTGCGGCGCGCGTCGCTCGCGCCCGCGTCGTCGGACTCGGACGCGTCGCACGCGACGGACCGGCGCGCGACGGCGCGGCGCCTCTCGGCCGTGCCCGCGCGGCGGTTGAGCCAGGTCGCCCTGAGCCGCGGCGCGGCGCCGGCGTCCGAGTCGGAGAACGACTCGGCGCTGAGCGACGGCGACCGGCGCGCCGCGGGGCGGCGCCTGAGCGCCGTGCCCCGGCACCGCGGCGGCGCCGGCGACGCGACGCCCGGCGACCGCCTCGAGGCGGCGCTGCGGCGCAAGTCGCTCGCGCCGGACTCGTCGCCGGAGCTGCGGCGCACGTCGCTCGCGCCGGACTCGTCGCCGGACGCGCCCGCGCGCGCGCTCTTCGGCGAAACGGTCCCGCGCGACGCCGACGCGACGCCCGGCGACCGCCTCGAGGCGGCCCTGCGGCGCAAGTCGCTCGCCCCGGACCCGCGCAAGTCGCTGCGGGCCCTCGCGGCCGAGAAGCCGGCCTACGTCACCGCGCCGCGGCGCAAGTCCGTCGTCGAATCGTCCGCGGACGCCGCGGAGCGGCGCCTCGCGGCGGAGGTGCCGACGACGCACGACGAGAAGCCCCGGCGCGCGGGCCGCAACGTGCGGAAGCGGCCGCCGCGGCGCATCGACGGCGGGGGCCCGCCGCCCGCGGCGCGGTCGCGGGAGCGGCGGAGCCGCGCGGACATGAGCGACGCGAACCCCGGCGCGGGCCGGCGCCGCAATCCCGGCGGGCCGTCGCCGGAGCCGGAGCCGCAGGCGCGCGGCCCGGAGCAGCTCGTGATCCTCGACGACGGCACCATCGGCCGCGGCGACCGCGCGGCCGCGCGCGTGGACGCGCCGCTCGGAGCGTCGGGGCACGCCGCGAAACTCGAGCCCCGGAAGCCACGGCGGCCGCGGGAGGCCCACGACCCGGACCGCGACGCGGCGACCGCGGCGGCCGCGCGGGGCCGCGCGCGCCGCGAGGAGGACCGCGAGGCGCGCGCGCGCCGCGTGCAGCCGACGAGCCGGGAGCACATGACGAACCCGCACGGCCACCGCGCGCCCGCGGCGCCGGCGAGCTCGCTGCCCCGGGACCCGCGGGCGTTGCGCTACGTCCTCGGCGCGAGCGACGCCGACGAGCCGGCCGCGGACGGCGCCGAGGGCCGCGGCGTCTCGCTCGAGCGGCGCGTGCGCGGCGCCGTCGACTCGGGCCGCCGCGCGCGGCGGCGGCGGGACGTCTAGCCACCTTAATCTGGTACGAATTGGAGAAGAGTGAGCTTGGTTACGAGGCCGGGGGGAGGCACACCTAGGCCGCGTCGTCGAGCTTGCGCTTCTTGCCGGGCTCGTCCTTGGCGTCTCGCCTCTTGTAGCCCCGGAGCTCGATGGCCTCGACGAGGACGTGGGCGAGCTCCTCGAGCATGGTCACCTTGGAGCCGTCGAACTCGGCGCGCGCGCCCTCGAAGCCGCCCTTCGTGACGTCGGTGTCGATGATGCAGAGCGTGCCGATGTGGTGCACGACGCCGTCGCTCCCCGTGAAGCCGAGGCGCGCGCCGGCGTAGAAGCGGATGTGGGGCCAGTCCGTGACGAGGGCGTTGCCCCGGAAGCGCGGGTCGGCCTGCGCGTCGTTGACGACCATGACGTCCGGCGCGTCGGGCATGATCGCGTGCGCGCAGAACGCCAAATCCCGCGGCGTCTCGCGCACCTCGCCCAGGCCCCGCTGGGACTTGAAGAACTGGCGCTCGGCGTCGACGAGGCTCACGAGGGCGATGGGCACGTCGAAGATCTGGCAGCAGAGGGACGTGATGCGGTCGAAGGACGGCTCGTAGCTCACGTCGAGGAGGTCGAGGTCGTGGAGCGTCTTCAGGCGCTCCTCCTCGTCGGGCGGGATGGGGCAGGTCGCCGCCATGGTGAATCGCGACGGCCCCGCTGCGTCCACGGAGGCGCGGCGGCGGCGGCCGCGACCGCACGACGACCTCGTTGGCAGTGATGACACTCGGCGGCTCGGGCTCTCGGAGCCAGTGCTCTTAGGACGTCAAGGTCGGCCATGGTGAATCGCGACGGCCCCGCTCTATTCATCTCGCCGAGATCTCGAGTTGTAGTCTCGCATGAAGCACCGGGGGCCGGGGGTCGGCGGCGGCGCGACGGCGTGGTGCCTTGTGGATGGCGAGGTGTTGTCAAAGCTTGCGCGCTCAACTCCCAGCATGTTCGCCTGAGAGGTGGGTCGACAGGTCGCTTTTGCTTTGATGTCTGTTGAAAGTCCCGCGTCGTACGTCTTTTTCCCCAACTGCACCATCGGCGTGTGCTTCTCCATCTCGTTCCAGCCGAACGTCGCGGACTTCCGCGACTCCGTGCCCTTGGGGAGGTATTTAGGTCGGAGTGTTCATAGGTACCAGGATCCGGTATCCCTTCCGAGTCTGTTGCCCGCATTGTAATGAGAAAATCATTGTTGAAGCACTTGTGGAAACAAATGGCATGTCGGATCCCAACCGCGACGCGGCGAACGAGCTCGGGTTCGTCAACGCCCTCGGCAACGGCGATCGGCGAAGCGCCATCGCCTCAGGCTACGCCGCGGCTGCGGCGCTACGTACACGCGCGCCGCTACCTCAGGTCACGAGCTCCGCCGCCGCCGCGACGGACTGGCGACGCTCGCCGCCACCATTATGCAGATTAGACGGGCCCTGGATGGGGTCGCGCCGCCGCGCGCGCGCCGAGAACGCCGCCCGTGTTCATCACACAGCCCCTGCGAGAGAGGCGTCGAGAGGTAGGGCCAGTTCGAGACACCGGGGGTCCGCGGCGCGACGCCATCGACGTCGTTTTTGCTCCGGAAAAGCACACCACCGTCGGAAGGGTCTCTATGAGGGACGCCTCGTTAGTTCAAACGTCCGAATCGGCGCCAATCTCGTCGCGGGACGACGTTTTACAGCCCGCACACACCAAAATACGCGCGTGATGGGCCACTGTCGCAGCGACTGGCGTCCCATTCGCTCCAGTCTTCGCGGATTTCGGCGCCAGGGGGCTCGAGGGGAGCCGTTGGCGTCCCTGAGTGGTCGCCGTCGCCCTCGTCGTGGCTGTTGAGCTCCGTGAGGCGCTGCACGCGGTTCGTCGGGCACGTAGACGATGGTCTGCGGGCGTTTCCGGAGGGTTTCTGGCCGCATGGGTCCCTCTCGCTGCGGCTGCCGGTCTGCAGCGGTCCGTAGACGTCCTCCGAGGGACTGGGGGCCGTCGGGCATGTTCTGCCGGCCTGTAGCGGCTCCCGAACCTCCGAAACACGACCAAACGGTACCACTCGGAGTGCGCGGACGAGCGCTTGCAGCACGAAATCGGCGTCCAGGCCGCCGAGACTCGTCTCCAACGACTCCGTCTGCGTGCGTGTAGCGGCCACCGTCGCCCCGGGCAACGCTCTCGCCCTTGTCGGCCGCGGTGCGCCTCGCAGGCGTCGAAAAAGTCGACCTCGAACCCCAGCATGTCGATGCTCCACAGCACCTGGTCGAGGCTCTTTGCGCGGCCGGCCGCTGCGTGTGCGCGCTCCATCGGTCTGCGCGACTCAGCACGGCGTGCCCGAGCGTCGAGGGCTCGGAAAGAGGGCGCCTCGGCACGATTCGCGGGCTGCCCATCAATCGGCGGCACCTAAACTTCAAGTAACACTTCAATATCATATGTTGCATTCTCAACAAAATCGGCGCCGCCGATGACCGCTGCTGCCCGCGCCCCTGCTCACGTCGTTGCCAAGCGTGACAGGTAGATAAACGCGCCGGCGGCTGGTGCACACGCAGCGGCTGCTCGTCCTCAGCTTCGTCGTGAGCTCCTTGGGGCTGCTGGAATATCAGCGTTTGATCACTGTTTATCGCATTCCCTGGCTCAAAATGACGCATGGAGCGCCTCTAGCCGCCGCGCCGCCGCAGCGGTAGAGTCATCGCACCTCGGGACGACAGATCGACACTCGTTGGGCGTCGCCGCCGCGCCCCACGACGGACTCGGAGGCGCAGAGCATTTGGCGCGAGCGCACGGCGCAGGGCTGGCCGTGACCGCCTGCACCGCGGTGGCGTTGCTCGTCGCTGCAGAGCGACCTCGAGCCGCGCAGGCATGGCTGGGTGCGCGCTCGGGCCTTTGGGCTACGTCGACAGCACCGTAGGCGGCCGTTTCAGCGCCTGGACAGCACGTCGACGTGCTCTCGACGCCCAGCCCCGAGCCTCCAATGCGCCCCGCAGCGCGTGCCCCGTGGCCACGTGCCAGACCGTGCGGTTCTGGATGCCCGAGGCAGACACTAAGGAAGCTAACGCAGGCCCTACGACGCCCCTGGCGCGGTAGCACGACGTGCACTCGTCGTACTAGGCGCGTGCAAGGCGAGTACCAGTCTGAGGGCGCCCCTGAATGGACGCCTAGGAGCCCGAAAGGACTCGTTTCGAGCGCTCTCAGCGGCTGAGATCGATAGGGCATCTCTCACGACCACTCTGACCACGGCGCGCGCGCCGTCGTCATCATCATCGGCGGCGGCGGCGGCGGCGGCGGCGGCGGCGGCGGCGGCGTCGTCGTCGTCGTCGTCGTCGTCGTCGCGCGCGCGTGGGGGGAGTTAGGCGTCGGGGATCGCGGTGTCCATCATGGAGATGGCCTCGGACCACCGTAGTGGTCCTGAGGACGCCCAGGAGCGCCGGCGCGACCGCTTGTTCCTCGAGCTCGATTCTCGGATTCGATGTGCGGTCCTTCGACCGATTGTCGTGGTCGGCTGCGAGGCTGCGCTGGCCCAGGCGCGGGTCCCGGGTGGGGCTCGGGCTCGGGAAGGTCTCCGCGACTCCCGAGCACCTCAGGCGCCCGCACGCCGACCCACGCGCTCGCGCCGCGCTCAGCGTCGAAATCGCAACCGTCGCGCCGCTCGCGGCCCCCAGAGGACGCAGTGATCGCTCGCCCGAGGTCGTAGGACACCATGGAGGCGCGCGAGGCCGTGGAAGCGGTCTCCCGGGCCGCGTAGGGCGCGCGGGGCGGTGGCCGAGCGCTCACGCACAGACGCCGGCGCACAAATATTTGTGCGCCCGCGGGTTCAACCAAACCTGCGATCTTTTGTCCGGTTACCCTAGCTAAGCTATTCGAGCTGGCCCTACGAGAGGCGAGCTCTCGCATGGAGGCAGTTTTTGCAAGATAACACATGGCCGCAATGACCGACGCACCACCGCTGCTCACCTGGCGGCGCGGCGGCGGCGCCGCGCTCTTGGAAGAGATCGACGCGCTCGTCGCGAACCACTGCGACGCGCACGCCTGCGCGCTGCGCAGCTTCGGCGACTCCTCCGACAAGGCGCACCGCGCCTGGTACCTGCAGCGCGAGGCCGTCGCGAGCGGCTTCGCGGACCGGCTCTGGGCCTGCTGCGCCGCGTGCGACGCCTGGGGCGTCACGGCGCGCGGCGGCGAGGCGCTTCGGCGCCGCGGCCGGCCCGCGCTGCGATGCCTCGAGATTTTGCGCTACGACGCGGGCGGCGGCGCGCTCGGGCTCCACGACGACGGCGAGACGCTGCTGACGACGAGCCTCATGGTCTCGCCCGCCGGCGCCTTCGAGGGCGGCGCCGTCGAGGTCGCGCGGTGGCCCGGCCGCCTCGAGCGCGCCGACCCCGCGCGCGGCGACGTCGTCGCCTGGCGCGGGTGGGAGAAGCATCGGGTCGCGCCCGTGACGCGCGGCGCGCGCGTCGTGGTCGTCGCCGAGTGGTGGGCCGGCCCCGACGCGCCGCGCGCGGACCGGCGCGCGCCCTCGACGGAGCCGCGGCTCCGCGCGGCGCTCGACCTCGACCCGGCGTCGCCCGCGCTCCTCGCGGCCGTCGCGCACCTCCGCGCGGCCGCGGGCGACGCCGAAGGCGCCCTCGCCCTCTACGACGCGAGCCTCGCCGGCGACCCGACCTGCGGCGCCGCGCGGTTCTCGCGCGCGCTCCTCCGGGCGCGGGCGCGCGACTTCGCCGGCGCGGAGGCGGACCTCGCGGCACTCGCACACGCGGGGGCGGCGGACCCGGACGTCCACGCCCAGCTCGGCGCGCTCCAGGCGCGGCGCGGCGCCGTCGACGAGGCCGCGGAGTCGTTCCGCCTCGCCGCGGTCGCGCGCGGCGGCGCGGGGACGTAACGTGGAGTTTTGTTTTCTTACGGGGGGGCTCCGCGCTTGGCAAGCTCACGCGCAAGCGCAGCATCCCGGGCTCAGGCGGGCCCGGCGACGTTCGGCGTGTCGGTTTGGGCCCAAATCGGGTCCGTGAGGGCCTCTATGGCTAACTTGAAGCCCTTGGCAGCGGCGCGCTCGAACCAGTATCTGGCTTTGCCGAGGTCGACTTCCGTGCCTTCTCCAGTCATGTAACAGCAGCCAAGGTTGTTCTCCGCATCGGTATGGCCTTGATCCGCCGCGAGCGCGTAGTACCGGAACGCTTCTTCAAATCTCTGCTCAGAGTAAACTAAAAGCCCTGAATTGTATTGCGCGGTCGCGTGGCCCCGGTCCGCGGCCGCGCGATACAGCCGCTCCGCCTTCTTCTTGTCCAGCTTGACGCCACTTCCAGTCTCGTACAATCTCGCAAGTCGTACCATCGCGTCCACGTTCCCGAGCTCCACGGCGCGCCGGTAAATCTTCGCGGCTTTCTTATCGGATGTCACGAGGCCGAAGAGACCGCGGCGGTACGCGTCTCCCAAAAACGAAATCGCTTCCGGCACCTCGTTCTCCACATGGCGGCGAATTTGCGCGAGGTTTTCCGCACCACTTCCTGCGTGCGGTAAACGGCAGAGAGGACACGCGTCGGAGCCGATCTTGTGCTCGCACGATTGGCAGACCAACCGGCAGCAGCAGGTGCGAAACACGCCCGACGCATTCACGTCCCAGTCCCCGAAACAGATCGGGCACCGCGACCCGTACCGCGCCGACGGGGGCTCCCGCTCCGGGTTCGCCTCGCGCCGCACGCGTGCTGCCTCGTGTTCCGCCGCGATGCGCGCGCGGACCTCGTCGGCGTGCGACCGCGGCGCGGGGCCGTAGAACACCTCGCGCGGCGGCGACGGCGGGGGCGTCGGCGCCTCGGCCCGCGCCGCCTCCGCCGCGCGCTCGCTTCGGATCTTCTTGCACGCCTTTCGGTGACCCCGGTCGCGCCAGTCGATGCGTTGGCATTCAGTCGAACAATACTGCGTAGTTCCGCACGGACAGTTCAGCAAAGTTCTCGGTTTCGCCCCACAAATCGTGCACGTCAAACGCAGCTGTAGCGCTTTCGCCCGCGCCTTCTTCCCTTCGTATTCGCGCTGCTTCTCGACGTACTCGGCCTTCATGCTCGTGCGGGCTACATGTGGGGGCGGCTCGATCAGCAGGGGCAAAATCGCTCAAAATCTGACCTAAAGCCTACCTAAGCCCACCCCTAGAGCATCGCGCTCATGTCGATCTCCATGCCCCCCTCGGCGGCGTCGTCCTTGCGCCGGGCGGGCTTCGCGTTCAGAAACGCGAGGCACCAGACGGCGAAGGTCGGCGCGGAGAGGAACGCGGTCGCCGACGACGACGCCAGGGCCAAGCGCGACTCGCCTGTGCGCAAGCGCAGCATCCCGGGCTCGGGCGACGACGCGGCATAAAGATTGTTATGCTATACTCAGGCGTCGAGGTCCGCGAGACACTCTATAGCTTTCTCGTTGCCCTTGGCAGCGGCGCGCTCGAGCCAGCATCTGGCTTCGCCGAGGTCGACTTTCGTGCCTCTTCCGCACCCGTAACACATACCAAGGTTGGTCTCTCCAGCGGCTAAACCTTGATCCGCCGCGAGCGCGTAGTACCGGAACGCTTCTTCGAATCTCTTCTCAGAGTGAAGTAAAAGCCCTACCTTGTTTTGTCCGAACGCGTCGCCCCGATCTGCGGCCATGCGAAACAGCCGCTCCGCCTTCTTCTTGTCCAGCTTGAGACCACTTCCAGTCACGTACAAATTCCCAAGATATACCATCGCGTCCACGTCGCCGAGCTCCACGGCGCGCTTCCAAATCTTCGCGGCTTTCTTCTCGGATTTCACGAGGCCGTACCTACCCTCGCGGTACGCACCTCCCAAATGCGAAATTGCTTCCGGCACATCGTTCTCCACGTGGCGGCGAATTTGCGCGAGTGCTTCCGCATTGGATTTTGCGCACGGTATACGACAGAGGGGACACGCGCCGAAGTCGATCTTGTCCTCGCACGATCGGCAGACCGTTCGGCAGCAACAGATGCGAAGCATGCCCGGAGCATTCACGTCCCACTCCTCGAGGCAGATCGGGCACCGCGACCCAAACCGCGCCGAGAGCGGCTCAGGCTCCGGGTTCGCCTCGCGCCGCGCCCGCGCCGCTTCGTGTTCCGCCGCGATGCGCGCGCGGATCTCGTCGGCGTGCGACCGAGGCGCGGGGCCGTAGAACACGTCCCGCGGCGGCGACGGCGGGGGCGTCGGCGCTTCCGCCCGCGCCGCCTCCGCGGCCTGGATCTTCTTGCAGACCTTCCGGTGGCCCCGATCGCGCCAGTCGATGCGTTGGCAGTCCGTCGAACAGTAGGCCGTCGTGCCGCACCCTTTGCAGGGCCGGGCATCCTTCTTCCCGCAAATCGTGCATATGTTGAGCGCCAGCTTCGTACGGGTTTTTCGCGCCTCGTACTCTCGCTTCTTCTTGATCAATTCCGGGTCCATCTCTGACCGCGCGTCCTCGCTTCTCAGGCCTCGGCCGATCGCAACTTTGAAAGCCAAAATCGCTCAAAATCTTACCCAGGAGACGTCCCAGGGCTAATTAGCTAAGCCCACCCCTGAGCATCGCGTTCATGTCTTTCTCCATGCCCCCCTCGGCGGCGTCGTCGTCCTTGCGCCAGGCAGGGTTCGCGTTCAGGAACGCCAGGCACCAGACCGCGAAGGTCGGCGCGGAGAGGAACGCGGCGACGACGACGCCAAGGCCAAGCACGACTCGCCCGCGCGCAAGCGCAGCATCTCGGGCTCGGGCGACGACGCGGTGTAAAGATTGTTAGGCTATACTCGCGCGTCGAGGTCCGCCAGCAGATTTGTAGCTGTCTCGTTGCCCTTGGCAGCGGCGCGCTCGAACCAGTATCTGGCTTTGCCGAGGTCGACTTCCGTGCCTTTTCCGTCCCTGTAAAAACAGCCAAGATTGCTCTCCGCACATGTATAGCCTTGATCCGCCGCGAGCGCGACGTACCGGAACGCTTCTTCAAATTTATGCTCAGAATGAAGTGAACACGCTATTTTGTTTTGCGCGACCGCGTCGCCTCGGTCCGCGGCCGTGAGATACAGCCGCTCCGCCTTCTTCTTGTCCAGCTTGACGCCACTTCCAGTCTCGTATATTTCCCCAAGGTAACCCATCGCTTGCACATCTCCGAGCTCCACGGCGCGCTTCCAAATCTTCGCGGCTTTCTTATCGGATTTCACGAGGCCAAACCGACCTTTGCGGTACGCAATTCCCAAATGCGTAATCGCTTCCGGCACTTCGTTCTCCACATGGCGGCGAAGACGCGCGAGTTCTTCCGCGTGGGTCTTCACGCGCGGTAAGCGACAGAGGGGACACGCGTCGGAGCCGATCTTCTTCTCGCACGATTGGCAGACCGTCCGGCAGCAGCAGACGCGAAAGACGTCCGGAGCATTCACGTCCCAGTCCCCGAAACAGATCGGGCACCGCGACCCAAACCGCGCCGACTGCGGCTCCCGCTCCGGGTTCGCCTCGCGCAGGGCACGAGCGGCTTCGTGTTCCGCCGCGATGCGCGCGCGGACCTCGTCGGCGTGCGACCGCGGGGCGGGGCCGTAGAACACGTCCCGCGGCGGCGACGGCGGGGGCGTCGGCGCTTCCGCCCGCGCCGCCTCCGCGGCCTGGATCTTCTTGCAGACCTTCCGGTGGCCCCGGTCGCGCCAGTCGATGCGTTGGCAGTCCGTCGAACAGTAGGCCGTCGTGCCGCACCCTTTGCACGCCTTCGCTTTGTCGGCGCCGCAGATCGTGCAGGTCTTGAGAGTGTCGAGTTTTTTGCCCCTCGCTCGGGCCATGCGATTCTCATACTCCAACTTCTTCTCCTGCCACGACATGACTCTGCGCGAACTTGGTCACTTGAGCGGCGATCGTCTCCTCGTCTCGAGCTCGGCAAGGCAAAATCGCTCAAAATCTTACCCAGGACGCCTCCCAAGGAGGCCTCCAAGGGTCGCTAAGCACCCCTCGAGCATCGCGTTCATGTCGTTCTCCATGCCCCCCTTGGCGGCGTCGTCGTCCTTGCGGCGGGCATCGCGTTCAAGAACGCCAGAATCCAGACCGCGAAGGCCGGTGCGGAGAGGAATGCCGCGACGACGACGCCAAGGCCAAGCACGACTCGCCCGCGCGCAAGCGCAGCATCCCGGGCTCGGGCGACGACGCGGCGTAAAGAGTTAGGCTATACTCGCGCGTCGAGGTGCGCGAGGAGCTTGATAGCATTCTCGTTGCCCTTGGCAGCGGCACGCTCGAGCCAGTATCTGGCTTTGCCGAGGTCGACTTCCGTGCCTGTTCCGTACCTGTAGCAGCAACCAAGGTTATACTCTCCAGCGGCATAGCCTTGATCCGTTGCGAGCACAAAGTACCGGACCGCTTCTTCAAATTTCTCGTCAGAATGAAGGAAAGCCCCTAAACAGGTTTGTCCGAACGCGTCGCCCCGATCTGCGGCCATGCGATACAGCCGCTCCGCCTTCTTCTTGTCCAGCTTGACGCCACTTCCAGTCCGGTACAACTCCCCAAGAGATGCCATCGCGTCCACGTCCCCGAGCTCCACGGCGCGCCGGTAAATCTTCGCCGCTTTCTTATCGGCTTTCACGAGGCCAAACCGACCGAGGCGGTACGCGTCTCCCAAATACGCAATTGCTTCCGGCACCTCGTTCTCCACGTGGCGGCGAAGACGCGCGAGCTGCTCCGCATCGTTCCGTGCGCGCGGTATGCGACAGAGGGGACACGGGCCGGTGCCGATCTTGACCTGACACGATCGGCAGACAATCCGGCAGCAACAGATGCGAATCACGCTCGCCGCATTCACGTCCCACTCCTCGAGACAGATCGGGCACCGCGACCCAAACCGCGCCGACTGCGGCTCCTGCTCCGGGTTCGCCTCGCGCCGCACGCGAGCGGCCTCGTGCTCCGCGGCGATGCGCGCGCGGATCTCGTCGGCGTGCGACCGCGGCGCGGGGCCGTAGAACACCTCGCGCGGTGGCGACGGCGGGGGCGTCGGCGCTTCCGCTGCGCGCTCGCTTCGGATCTTCTTGCAGACCTTTCGGTGACCCCGGTCGCGCCAGTCGATGCGTTGGCATTCAGTCGAACAGTACTGGGTTGTACCGCAAGGACAATTCAGCAAAGTTCTCGGTTTCGCCCCACAAATCGTGCACGTCAAACGCAGCTGTAGCGCTTTCGCCCGCGCCTTCTTCTCTTCGTATTCGCGCTGCTTCTCGACGTACTCGGCCTTCATGATCGTTTGCGGGGCGGCGCGCGGGCGACAGCTTTGCCTCTCCTCCACCTGAGGCAAAGCCTGAGCTCGCAAGGCAAAATCGCTCAAAACCGACCCCAGGTTAGCCCCACCTTAGAGCATCGCGTTCATGTCGATCTCCATGCCCCCCTCGCGCCAGGCAGGCTTCGCGTTCAGAAACGCCCTGGCGAATCCAGACCGCGAAGGTCGGCGCGGAGAGGAACGCGGCGACGACGACGCCAAGGCCAAGCGCGACTCGCCCGCGCGCAAGCGCAGCATCTCGGGCTCGGGCGACGACGCGGCGTTTAGACTTAGGCTATACTCGCGCGTCGAGGTCCGCGAGGGACTCTATAGCATTCTCGTCGCCCTTGGCAGCGGCGCGCTCGAACCAGTATCTGGCTTTGCCGAGGTCGACTTCCGTGCCGTTTCCGTCCTCGTAACAACAGCCAAGGTTGTTCTCTCCCAAAGCATAGCCTTGATCCGCCGCGAGCGCGAAGTACCGGAACGCCTCTTCAAATCTCTGCTCAGAATCAAGTAAACAACCTAAATTGAATTGCGCGGCCGCGTCGCCGCGGTCTGCGGCCATGCGAACGAGCCGCTCCGCCTTCTTCTTGTCCAGCTTGACGCCACTTCCATGGTAATACAATCCAGCAAGGCATCTCATCGCCTCCACGTCCCCGAGCTCCACGGCGCGCTTCCAAATCTTCGCTGCTTTCTTATCGGATTTCACGAGGCCCATCCGACCGTCGTAGTACGCGTCTCCCAAAAACGTAATTGCTTCCGGCACCTCGTTCTCCACATGGCGGCGCAGACGCGCGAGTTCTTCCGCTTGATTCTTCGCGCTAGGTAGGCGACAGAGAGGACATGCGTCGTCGCCGATCTTGTCCTCGCAGGATCGGCAGACCATCCGGCAGCAACAGACGCGAAGCACGCCCGGATCATTCACGTTCCACTCCTCGAGGCAGATCGGGCACCGCGACCCAAACCGCGCCGACGCCGGCTCGGGCTCAGGGTTCGCCTCGCGCCGCACGCGGGCCGCCTCGTGCTCCGCCGCGATGCGCGCACGGACCTCGTCGGCGTGCGACCGCGGCGCGGGTCCGTAGAACACGTCCCTCGGCGGCGACGGGGGCGTCGGCGCTTCCGCCCGCGCCGCCTCCGCGGCCTGGATCTTCTTGCAGACCTTCCGGTGGCCCCGGTCGCGCCAGTCGATGCGTTGGCAGTCCGTCGAACAGTAGGCCGTCGTGCCGCACCCTCCGCACGCCTTGGCTTTGTCGGCGCCGCAGATCGTGCAGGTCTTGAGAGTGTCGAGTTTTTTGCCCCTCGCTCGGGCCATGCGAGTCTCATACTCCAACTTCTTCTCCTGCCACGACATGACTCGGCGCGCGTCCTCCTACGGGGTCCGCTCGATCGCTGGCAAAATCGCTCAAAAATTTATTTACCCCACGGACGCCTCACCACAAAGACTTCTCTCGACTCGATCAATTAGAACTTGCCGAGCGTCGTGAGCCGCGGTCGCGAGGCCTCGTTGTGGCACTCAGAATCACCAGTTGACCTCGGCGACGACCGCGCGTTTCCACAGTGTCTTACGAAGCCCGCCGCGCGCCGTTGCCGCCGCCGTTCGCCACGACGACGACGGCGTCGTAGGCCTGCTCCGCCGCCTTCGACGGCGCGATGTGGAGGTGCTTGTGCGAGTGGCGGTGGTTCGCCGCGTGGTGGTCGTGGAGCTTGTCGGAGCCGGAGTGGATCGACGGCGCGTCCGCGGTCTTCTGCTGCGTCATCGCGGCGGCCGCGGCGACCTCGGACGCGCCGTAGGCGGCCTGGAGCACCAACAGCAGCTTGGAGATGTCGTCGAGGGCGGGCTCGAAGCGCTGGAAGATGGAGAGCTCGTCGAGCGCGAGGAGCGCCTGGTCCTGCGCGTCCGACGTCGACAGCTCCGCCTCCGGGTCGACGCCCTGCTGCTCCATGACGTTGTAGCCTACCAAGCGATTTTTCATCGTTTTCCCGGTCAAAGTCTCTCGAAAATCGTCACGGCCGCAGGACGCTGGTTGTAGCAGAGCGCGTCCAAGTCCTCGTCGCGGCCCGTCGCCACGGCGAGCGCCGCTTTTAACAACCCCTGGTCGAGGACGACGGGCTTCGCGTCGTCGAGGTCGCAGAAGAGCACGCGCGCGCTCCGCGCGTCGCACGGCGCCGCCAGCGGCGACGATCCGCCGTCGAGGAGCGCGCCGAGGGCCGCGTCGAGGGCCTCCACGGGCGCGTGGAGCGGCCGCGGCGGCGTCGGCCGCCCCGCGAGCTCCGCCAGAAGCCGCGGCAGGATCTCCGGCGTCAGGCCCATGGACTGCTCCTTGACCTACCAAGTACGTCGGTAACAATTTTGCATCGGTTTCCCGGTCACAATCTCTCAAAAATCGTCACGGCCGCAGGACGCTGTCCTTGACCGCGCCGTAGGAGTCGACGATGATCGCCAGGAGCGCGTTGAGCAAAATCAGCGACATGATGCCCACGAAGGAGTAGAAGAAGACGATGATCGTCACGTCCGTGCCCGCGTTCTTCGCGTCGGAGATGCTCCCGAAGTCGCCGAATAGAATGTCCACGAGCGCCATGATCGACAGCGCCAGCGACGAGAACGCCGCGTTCTGCGTCCCGAACAGCAACGTCGCTAGTGTCGCGAACAACAGCAGCACGAACATGAACAGGAAGCAGAAGATGAAGAGGTCGCGGCCCGCGAGGAAGATCGTGCTCGTCGTGAGCCCGAGCTTCGGGTGGAAGTGGAGCGTCTTCAGGAGCTGGAGCACGCACACAAAAATACAAAGCGCGACCGTGTTCGCGTAGGCGTTGGCGCTGTGCGTCACGGCGATGAGCGACGCGTCCATGTCCAGGAAGTCGCCTAAACCGTCGCCCGCCTGTAAAATTCGCCCGACGGCGAAGAAGTCCGCGTAGACGTCCGCGTGTCTCATCAACGTCACCCTCCCGCAGTTGTGGACGTGGCGCACCCAGTTCGCGACGAGGCCGAGCTGGCTCCCGTAGCTCACGAGGTCCACGACGTTCGTCCAGTCGCTCAGGTAGCCTAAAAGCCGGCCCGTGGCCCGGTACTCGTCGCGGAGCTCGCCGAGCTCCGCGACGATGAAGTAGACGAGCCCGAGCGCCCACAAACACTCCACGACGAGCCGCGCGTAGTCGCTCAAATCGTCGTAGACGGCGATGTCCAGCACCTCGATGGTCCAGCGCACGCGGAAGCCGCCCTCGACCTGGCGGTCCGCCTTGGCGTCGATGACGGCCACGAGGCCCGTCTCCTCGTTGAAGAGCGGCAGCCGCAGGTTCAGGAGCGCGGTCTGCTTGTCGACGTAGCCGCCGTATTTCAGCGTGTGGATGATGTCCGCGTAGCGGGACGCGTTGACGCGCGCGTCGATGACGACGGGGAAATGGATCGCGTCGGAGTCGCGCCCGCCGCCCGACTCGTAGAACGCGTAGGGCAGCCCCGTGGGCCGCAGCTCGTCGTCGTCGTACCACGTCTCGTAGGCATTCGTCGACCGGAAGAGGGGCGACGTCGACACGAAGGTCGGGTCGACGCCGAAGGGCTCGCGGTCGAAGCGCTCGCGCCGCGCCTTCTGATAGCGCCAGGGGTGTTCGCCGTCGGGCTTGCGGCCCACGAGGCACGTCGCGTCCTGTTTTTCTTCAAATAAATCCTCGCCCTCGACGCAGGCCTCGGTCTCGTAGCGCACCGTCGTCATGAACGCGCCGACGAGGACGACGTTCGGCTCGACGTAGGTCCGCCGCCGGTCCGGCACCGCGGACGTGTCGAAGAGGGCGCCGTGGGCGCCGGGGAAGCCCGTCGTGTTCACGGTAAAGGGAAAACCGCCTACCAAGCATGACGGTAACGATTTTTCATCGTTAACCCAGCCGAAATCTCTCGAAATCGTCACCGCCACAGGACGCTGGAAGCCGCCGTAGTCGCCGGACAGGTGCGCGAGGTAGGGGCAGTCGCCGCAGAAGAGCGACGGCACGTCCGCGTGCGCGACCTCGGCGACGCCGTCGCGTATTTTTCGCACCTCCCGGTAGGCTTTGTAGGCGTCGTGGGGCATCTTCAGGTGCCAGCCGCGCGTCGTCGCGTAGACGCCGTCTTCTGGCGAATCGTCGGGGCTCTCGTCCCGGACCGCGTAGGGCCACGCGGGCTTGCAGTCCTCGACGGGGTCGAAGCGGTCCCCGTCCCCGTAGTAGTCATCGTAGAAGTAGTAGTCGTCGCCGCCGGGGGACCAGTCGTCGTCGCCGCCGGCGAGGCGCCGCCGGTCCTCGTCGTAGAGGATGAAGTCCATGGAGCAGGCCGCGCCGGCGTCGTCGACGGAGCCGACGCTCACGGGCGACAGGCACTTGGACGTGTCGGTCTGGATGCCGAGGTCGTCGAGGGGGCAGGGGTCGTCGGTGCCGGACGCGCACGTGTTGACGCAGCAGTCCTCGCCGTCGTAGCCGCAGTACGCGTTGTTGTTCTCGTCGTCGCAGGTGCCGTCGCCGAGCGTCGACCAGTAGCACTCCTCGGGCGCGCCGTCGAACGTCGCGCCGAGCGACGCGGCCCGGAGGTCCAGCGCGAAGAGGTTGTCCAGCGACGTCGGCGCCCTCGACGGCGCGCGCGACGGCGCCGTCGCGTTCGCCAGGCGGCGCCGCCGGTCGTCGCAGTCCAGGTCGTCGCTGGCCATGAACGGCGCGTCGCAGTCCTCCGCGCACGCGAGCGGGCTCGAGCTCGTCGCGTCCCAGGTGCACAAGCTGCACGCGCCGCCGGAGACGCGCGTCGCGCCCGCGCCGTCGGCGATGCTCCAGGACACCTGGGAGTTGTCGCAGTCGGGCGGCACGTAGATGATGTAGGAGAGCGACGCGTCGATCTGGATCTCGTACGTCACGGACTGCTCCTCGAGCCAGCCGCCGCCCGGGACGTCGTAGTACGTTCCGTCGGCCTCCATGAGAAAGTAGGCCCCCTCCCAGCCGTCGTAGGGCCAGTTCAAATCCTCGAACGTGAGGGTGAAGGTCTCGTAGGCGCTGTCGAAGACGTTCCACGCGTCGTCGTCGAGCGTCGCGTTCGCGGCTTCGCGGAAGTCCGCGAAGGTCGTCGCGTTGAAGTCGAGTTTCCACCAGTCGCCGAGATACTGGAGCGCGAGGTCGTCGACGAAGGTTTCGGCCTCGTCGGACCACGCCGCGAACGACGCCGCGTCGTCGTCGCCGAAGCAGACGTGCTCGGACTCGTAGAACGAGCAGGCGCAGGCCTCCGCGTCCGCGCAGGCCGCCCAGGCCTCGCAGTCGTCGAAGTCGCCCGAGTCCGGCGCGGTCTCGAAGCAGACGCGGCCCGCGACGGCGGGGAACGCGACGGGCCCGTCGCCGAGCGTCGCGCTCGCGGGCCACGCGAAGTTGTCGTAGGCGACGCGCACCTCCCAGGCGCCGTCGAAGAGCTCGAGGTCGTAGGACTCGCCGAAGTAGGTCGGCTGGTCGACGTCGAGCTCGTAGGAGCGGTAGGACCGGCCCTTGATGACGACGTCGCCGTCGAAGACGCAGACCTGGTCCTCGTCGAGGCCGAACTGGGGCCGGTCCGTCGTGCAGACGTTCCAGCCCGCGACGGGCACGAGGTCCGACGCGCCCCAGCGCGACGCGTCCGCGCCGCGCCAGCCGTACGCGCGCGCGGCCTCCATGTGCTTGTACGCGAAGTAGAGCTTCGTGGGATCCGAAAACTCGACGCGCGCGTTCCGCGTCGGCGCGACGCCGCAGTCCGCGCGGCAGGACGCGCCGAAGCTCCGGGCCTCCGTCGACGCCTGGAAGATGGGCTGCTCCTCGGGGCTCTGGCACGTGCCGTCGCCGCACGCCTCGCCCGTGAAGATGGGGTCCAGGATGTAGGTCTCCATCCACTGGAGCGCCATGTGGGGGTCGCTG